CCTGGTTTTTATGGGGGCATTATTTTCACAATATTTTAAATTTTTTGAGTTATATAAGATTGGAATTTCCTCAATTCTATGATTGAAGAACCTTCACCATCTAATGAGTATTTTGGGTCTGGGGTTTCCGTTTAGGTTCCACCCAATCAATGGATCTGCCTCTTTTATTATTAATCCTTTTTGATTGGCTTCGTTGATTTTTATTTCGCTTACATCTATGTTTCTTACTTCTTCTATTTTATTTTTTGTTTTTTATTTATAAAAGTTCCTATTCTAAATTTTTCTAATTTTTTTTTATTCTATTACGATATTGTATTATTAGAATTCAAGCATGCTAAAAAAGAGATGAAAAAATGAAAAGTCCAACCAAAATAACTATTATTGGAATAAACGGGAAAATGAGTAAGAGTATCATTAAGCACCTTGCACTTTCTAAAAAATATGAAATTGTAGCAGGGATTGAGCGAAGTGAATCTATCTTAATTGGAAAAACAATGAACGACATTCACGAATTTTCCAAGATTAAGAAATTTTCCAATATTCCCATCTACAATAATTTAAATAAAATTAAGGACAAACCAGAAGTGATTATCGATTTTTCAACTTCTAAATCCACCCTCTACCACCTCAAAGAGACAAAAAATCAATATCAATCATGGATCATTGGAACAACTGGTTTTACCAATACGGAAATGATGCAAATCAAAAAATACGCCCAAAAAAAACCCATTCTTTATTCCCAAAATTTCAGCATCGGCATTAATATTCTCAACCAACTGATCCAAACAGCTCTAACCATCCCGCTAATGGATGATTTTGATATTGAATTTTTAGAAACTCACCACAGGGAAAAGTTAGACAGTCCATCGGGAACTGCCTTAATGATACTCGACAAAATTAAAAAAATTAAAAAGCTTTCCAATAAAAATATTATTAATAAAAGATTTGGAAAAAGTCAAAAAAGAAAAAAAGGTCAAATTGGTGTTTTCTCATTAAGAGGTGGTTCCGTTATTGGAGATCATGAAATTCGTTTAATGGGGGATTATGAAAACATCACCTTGAGACATACAGCCAATGATCGATCTGCCTTTAGTTCAGGGGTGCTTAATGTCATTGACTTTTGTAAAAAAAAATTAAATAACAAAGGAGTCGGATTTTTCACCTTTGAAGATATTTTCTGAATAGACTAGAAAAAATCAGTTATTTCCACTTGGCTTCAATCAAGTTGCTTTTTTTTTATGATGCGGTTTTTTATCGTTTGCATTTTTTTTTTCCATTCTTTTGTCCAAGCCCAATCAGACCCAACCTATATAAGTGATGGAGAAGCCATTAAAGTTTTAAACCGCACTTTTAATATCATCCGAAAAAATTATGTCGGCACAAACAATTTTGCCGAGAAACTCTTAATTGGAGCAATTGAGGGCATGGTGAATTCATTAGATGATCCCCATACAGCACTATTACGTGGTAAAAGCTTAGAAAACTTCATTAAAGAAATGCACAATCATTTCAGTGGGATTGGAATTTACATTGGGGAGGATCCAAGCGGTATTCTTGTTATCGATACTATTGAAGGTTCTCCGGCTTGGGAGACTGGCATCCAAGCTAATGATGTTATTGTCCAAGCCAATGACATTGAACTGAAAGGGAAGACCATTGATCAAGTAAGGTTGATCCTTATGGGACCTGAGAACACCACTGTAAAGGTGACTATTCTAAGAAAGGGAAAAGAAATTAATTTTAATATTAGAAGAAAAAAGGTTGTGGTTAAAACAGTTCAACATGAAATTCTTCCACGCATTATCTTGTCAAGACCTCAAAGCAAAGTTGGGTACATTAAGATTGTCAGTTTCTCCCAGAACACCGCCGAAGAATTTAAAAAGTCATTGAGTTTCATGAAAAAAGAAAGAATTACTGGTCTTGTGGTTGACTTGAGAAACAACCCTGGGGGATTGCTCCAAGCAGTAAGTGAGATGGTGGACTACTTTGTCAATAAAGGCCTAGTGGTCTCCACTAAAGATAAAAGAGAAAAAGTCAACGAATTTAAAGCAACCAGAAAAGTTATTTTTCCTCGCTACATCCCAGTAGCGGTTCTTGTTAATCGCTATTCGGCAAGTGCCAGTGAAATTTTCGCAGGAGCATTGAGAGATCACAAAAGGGCCATTTTAGTGGGAGATCAAACCTATGGAAAATTCTCAGTGCAAAGTTTCTTTCCTATTTGGAAAAACGACAAAGGCATTCAATCCACACTTAAGATGACGATTGCCAATTACTACCTCCCCAATGGGGATTCTTATAACAATGTAGGGATTTCTCCCAACATTTCAATCACCAATGACATCGCTTTTCAAAAAAATCTTAAACTTCAAAACTCCCAACGTTTCAAAAAGGATAAAGTCGTGGTGGAAGCAGTCAAGATCATCACCGATTTAAACAATTACCTCTACTTCTTAAAATAATTTCGTGCGTAAATTATTCCAGGTACTACCTTTCCTTTTTTTTTTTTCTACACTCGTTATTCTTGTTGTCTCACTGATTAATCCACTTTTTTTAGTGGATCAAATTACCAATCAACCCATCATCCGCATCTATATTGATCGATCGGCAAGCATGAATGAAACCACCAGTCCACAGGAAATCGAAAACTTTTTTGCGAATCTAAAAGGAAGTTCAAAAGTGAAAATTGAAACGAAAACTTTTTCTCGAAACATTTCCACCAGCTCCTACAGTTTAGATGAAACAATCGATTTCTTAAAAACAGAAAATATATTCTTAGGGACTCCCACCCGGTTCATTCCTCTACAAGAGCAACTGTTTTTTGTTCCAAATAACGAGATTAATTTGATCGTCTCTGATTTTCTTTTTGAAGACGGATTCATTACAACCAGAGAGTCCTCCAAAAATTCATTGGGCAGTTCAAAAAAAACTTTTTATCTTAAACCTACCCCACCACAGAGTTTTGACAATCAAGCCATTGTCTCTATTCAAAATCAAGAAGATTATTATGATCCCAATGAAGAGTACCCGCTCCAACTCATTTTCTATAGTGAAAAACCACAAAAAATTAATTATGAAATTTTTTACCAAACATCAGCCATGTTAAAAAAATCAAAAGACCAAAAACAAATTCTCAAAAAAGATGTATTGGACATTAAAGAAAACTATGTAAATGAAACTTTCAAGTTCCAATTACCTCAAGAGGATTGGTTGCACCTCGGGGTGAATATTTCTCCAAACCAAAAACGGAAAAAGATAGCTCGCTACTTATCTGATGGCATCAATCTTCTTTCGGAACAAGAGAGCTTGTCGATTGAAATTGTGTATTTCAAACTGACAAGAGATATTCAAAGCATTAAGAATTCTATCGACCGTTACAAGAACTTTAAAACTTCAGTGAGATTTTTTTTTGACTCATCCTCTTCTGAACAAAAAAATATTCTGCAAAATCAGCGCGACAATCAGGATTTATTTTTACTAGTCTCTCCTCCGAATGAAATGGTCGAATGGTTTAGAAAGGAGAAAATTCCTTTTATTCACTTACCCGATTTTGAACGCAATCTTGATACTCTTTCAAGAATTAATCTAAAAGATTTTGATTTTAATTATCCGATGGTTGACTTTTTAGGTGAAACCGAATACAGTCGCAACCGATGGAAAGAAAGCCTTTCCAAGATGAGAGGAATTCCGCTTACAGTTAAAAATCCGTCCAAGGTGAAAATGTTCCATCAATATTCCAATCAATCAGTGTTTTTTATTAGGGATCAAGAAGTGTATCTTGGTATCAAGAATTTATTCTTCCTTAATGATAATTTAATTGTTTCTGCGAATGAGTCTTTCTTGGATTCGTTTATAGTGAAATTAATTAATGAAAGTTACCAAGAAATTGTTCAGTCCGATGAAAAAAAAACAAGTCACAACTATTTTTTATCTCAAAAAATAGTCAATAAAAACTTAATTAAGCGTCTACCTCATTTAATTCAACTTGATGAAAGTTATTACATTTCTTCAAGGTTGGAACACCATGGAATTTATCCTAGTGGGAAATCCCCTCCTTACAACTATCGCGTCCCAATTTCCGAATATTTTCCACCTCCCGTGGAATTTGACGACTATGATAGCTTTGCTGATTTTTCGAAACAGCTTCAATCCATCCAATTTCTAGAAGACAAGAAAGTGAACCGTGAACTTCGATTGAGGGACATGCCTAACTATCCCTATTTGTTGATAGCTGCAATTTTATTTTTTATTGTTGCTTTATTGATGAAATGGGTCAATTACCGACGCTTTGCTTAAATTTAGGATGAGATCATTCAGCTAAACTTAATCCATACAAGCCCACTCTATCGTTTCTTTTCCATGCTTTTTTAGATGTTCATTGGTTTGAGAGAAGTGTTTGCAACCAAAAAAACCTTGATTCGCTGAAAAAGGGCTTGGGTGAGATGCTTTGAGTATGAGATGCCGATAAGGGTTGATAAGTGATTCCTTTTGGTGAGCGAAATTGCCCCACAAGAGAAAAACCAAGTGTTCTTTTTTTTCATTGAGTAAGTAGATAACCTTATCGGTGAAAGCTTCCCATCCGCAATGACGATGGGATCCTGGTTCATTTTTCCTCACTGTTAAAACCGTATTTAGGAGGAAAACTCCTTGCCTACTCCAACCAGTCAAATCGGCATAATTTTTTTTTAATGTTATTCCTAAATCGTTTTCAATTTCTTGAAAAATATTGATGACTGAGGGTGGTGGTTTGATACCCCGCCTCACTGAAAAACATAACCCGTGTGCTTGTTCGGGGTTGTGATAAGGGTCCTGTCCTAAGATGACGACTTTGACCTTTTCAAATGGGGTTTTAAAGGCATTAAAGACATCTTTCATAGGTGGGTAAATGATATGACTGGCGATTTCTTTTTTCAAAAATTCGCGAAGAGAGGTCATATTCGGGGTTTGAAATTCATCCTGGAGAATCTGATACCATCCCTCATCCATGTCTGGTTTTTTTTCACTCATGACTTATTCAAAATTTCTTTCATTCGGCTAAAGGCTTTTTTACTCATTTCAATTTTTTCTTTCTCGCTTGGTTCAGGAATTTTTTCATTGAATCCTCTATATTGGCGAATAAGGAATTCATTGGGGATCTCTTTTAAAAATCGAGAAGGTGAGTTAGAAACCTCTCCTTCCAAACTTTTTCTTTTCTTACACAAAGAAAGAGTACAAGACTCCTTTGCTCGAGTGAGCGCAACATAACAAAGCCGTCTTTCTTCTTCAAGTGAAGTGGGAAAACCATCTTTAAAAAAGGGTAAAATGTTCTCTTCCATACCAACAATGAAAACATGAGGAAACTCCAATCCCTTTGCATTATGAATAGTGAGTAGGTTCACCATATTCTTTACATTTTTTTCATCTTGATCATCAAGATCCTTTTGATAGGCGATTGAAATTTGCTCAATGAAACTTTTCAAACCTGATTGTTTTTTGTTATCAAAATATTTTTTGATGATTACAAAAAACTGTTCAATATTTTGTTCTCTTCTTTGTAGAGTCTCTTCTTTTTCTTTAACCAAGTGAAGGTAACTCATGTATTCAACATCGTTAATGAATTTTTTGAAGCCTTCAGAAGTTTTTTCTCCTTGAAGGTTTTGGTAGCTATCAATGAAATGGAAAAAAACAGATAACTTATCCTTTTCACTTGGTTTTAAAATTTCATCAATTTTTTTTTGAATACTCTTTTCTTGGGAGTGAAATAGTTCGTAGATATTGCTATGAATTTCACTACCAAAAGCAAGTAGTTTTTGAAGGCAAACCTCCCGCATCCGCCTAGGCTTATTAATCATTCTGAGAAAGCTCAAATCGTCTTGGGGATGTGTTAGGAGCTTCGCAAGTGCAATCAAATCACGGATTTCTTGTCGATTAAAAAAATCAATTTCTCCCCAAACTTGATAAGGAATTTTCCGTTGAGCGAAAACTTCTTTGATCGGTTTATTTTGATGCTTTGCACGATAAAGAATGGCAAAATCTCCATAGTTAAGGTTGTCCTTGAACATCTTAGCACGAATGGCATCAGCAACTTTGGTTGCCTCTTCTAATGGATTGCCTGCTTCATGAACAAGCACTTTTTCTCCTTGTTGTGTTTGTGTGCGATTAGAAGAAGAAGCAACTATGAGTTTCTTCTGCTTGCGCTCAAGGTTGTTTGAGATAAGATTATTAGCGCAGGCGATGATATTTGCCGTAGAACGATAATTAGTTTCTAGCCGAATGACCTTGCATTTTGGAAAGTCTTTCTCGAAATCTAAAATGTTTTTTATTCTCGCTCCCCTCCAGGAGTAGATCGATTGATCATCATCTCCCACCACCATGAGATTCTTATTCTTTTCACTTAATAGTTTGAGCAAATGATATTGAGCATGATTTGTGTCTTGATATTCATCAACCATGATAAAGTCATATTTCCCCCAGTAATACTCAAGCAAATCAGGATAATTAGCAAGCACTTGATGTGTGCGAAAAACTAAATCATCGAAATCAAGTGCTTTCCGATTATTGAGAAAAGCCTGATATTTGATATAGATTTTTTTGATACCTTGTTCATTGTCTTGCAAATCTTGGGGAGAAATAAGGTTCCCCTTCGCAATGGAAATTTGTTCATTTAAATAACGAAATTTATTACCAGAAAAATCAACGTTTAACTCCTTAAGAACATTGATCAACGCTTCCTTTTGGTCGTTTCCATCAAAAAGGGAAAAGGATGACTTGGAGAATTTAGAATGAGAAGAAGGGAAGAGGTAGGAATCGTGTTTTTTTAGGAAAAGCAATCCCCAGGCGTGAAAGGTACTAATGTTGAAATTGAGTTTTTTAGATGAATGGAGATGTTCCACTCTTTTTTTCATTTCTTGGGCTGCCTTCCTTGTGAAAGTTAAACATAGTATTTTCCCAGGATTTACTCCTTTATCAAGAAGGCGTACAATGCGATGCGTAATCACACGAGTTTTGCCACTTCCAGCTCCCGAAAGTACCAAGGCAGGACCGTCAAGATGATTGACTGCAATTTTTTGAGAATCGTTTAGCACGACTAGTTTTTGAAATAGAGGTAGGCTCCTATAAAAACTAAAGTCAAGGACAGTCCCTTTATCCAATTAAAAGGGAGCACCTGAGTTCCAAGCCATCCATAGTGATCAATCATTGCTCCTATGAGAATTTGAAAAAAAAAAACCATGATGAGGGTATTGCTGATTCCAATTTTGGAAGCACTCCAGCCAATGGATGTAACGATGATGATTCCACAAACCCCCGAGGTCAATTGCCAAACCGGAATGTTGCTAATATTGAAGGAAAAAAAAATAGAAAAGGGATTTTTGTACCTTATTAAAGAAGTAACAACTAATATAAAAAGAGCAAAAATGGATCCAAAGAAAAAGTTTAAAAACATATTGCCTAAGGGTCCTATTTTTACATCCAAATCAGATAAAACTTTTGCTTGAAATGCAATAGCAAAACCTGCTAAAGCAGCAATCATAATGGCTAATGATGTCATGGTGAATTGATTCATTAAATTATACTATATGAACCAACCTCTAAAGTTGTTACCAATTAAAAAATCTAATAAACCAAGAAACTATGACAAAAATACATGTGAAATTAATTAATTTTTGTCAGATATTAACAATTAAATAACTTTAATTAACCATAAGCCTTGGTAGATTATAGGTGGTGAGGAAAGCTAAATAGAATACTATACCTTCGAGGTAATACGGTTTATGTTAAAATGGATAGGTGATTAAGTTACTCACTTTTTCCTTTATCCTCTTGTTATTCAATGTCAATCATGGTTTCTCTCAAGCCATTCGCTACAAAGTAGGCAATGAGCCGCTTTGTATCAGTTTAAAAACAAGTAGGGGTAGCTACCTTCTTGAGGAAGGCCTCATTGAATATCAAGGTAAGACGATTGCAAAAACCAAAAGCGGGTGTTTTTTTCCTCCTCCGACTCTTTGTAATACAGGAAGTGAAATTGAAATTTTGTACAAACCTTACAATATTTACAAATACTTTAAAAGAGCAATTCCAATCAAACTAAAAGGGATTAAGAGAACAAGAGGGAATAATCGCAATTTAAGATGCGTACCCACTAAAGAAAACCGTTATCCTCAAGATTCATTTTACATCAAAATTCCCAATTTTTCCATCTACGAAAAACTTAGAAACTCTATTCCCTATGTGAATAATATTCAAACTAAAGATGCTGCTCTTCGTAGAGAGATTACTCCCTATGTTAAGAATTGTGGTAAGGAAGATAAAACCTGTATCATTTATAATGCCTACAAAAGGGTTACTTCCACTCTAAAGTATAAAAGGGATCCGATCAACGGAGGAAAGGACTTCATCCGATCCCCTCAAAAAACCATTAAAAATGGGGGAGGAGATTGTGAAGACCTCACTGGGGTATTGGTTTCCTTCCTCATTAATTTGGGAATTAAAAGCTATGTGGTGATGACTGACGACCATGCTTATTCAATGGCTTGCGGAATCAATAAAGCTCAATTAGAAGAATTAATCAAAAGGGGATTCGACATTAAAGAAACCACAAGTGAAAAATTCTCTCTCAGAAAGGGTCAGATTGCCACTTTTTCTTACACAAAGGGAAAGGTTTCAAAAGGAAGTGCTTTCAGGTGGAAGATTAAAACTAAAAGTAGAAATCCCTTCAATCTTTATGTTGTCAATAGCAAAGTAAGGATCAATGAAAAGAACTTTAAAAAAATGCTATTTAATAATAAGTGCTCGAAAAAAGATATCACCTATTACACCATACCTTGCATTCTCACCATTAATGATCAAGTCATTCTAGAATACGGGAATCAAGCCGCCAAAGGAGGAAAGAAAAACGTCACTCTTGATATTGTCATTGAAGACAATAATATTGAATCGATCAAGAATTTTGCCATTCATTATTATTTAATAAAGAAATTAAATAATGACAAGTATTGTGTTGTATTAGAGGCGACAGCTGGACAATATGGTTATCCAGGTTTTGCCGATCGCAAAAACAAAGGGATACCCATCGCTATTGATCCTATAAGTTGGGATTGGTTTTTCATCCGCTAAATATCTATTAAAAGTTGTAAATCATAAATGACTAACATTGAAACTCAAATCAAAGAAAAACTTAAAAGCATCATTGATCCTGATCTCCATCAGGACATCGTTTCTTTGGGCTTTGTTAAAAATATCAGTTGGGAGGGAAAAAACGAAGGTCTTGATGTAAAACTCACATTGGAACTTACCAGCCCAGCTTGTCCAGTTAAAGAAACTTTTAAGCAAGATGCCGAAAGATTGATTAAAGAAATTAAAGAAGTTGCTTCGGTAGAGGTTCATTTAAGTTCTCGACAAAGGAATCACCAAGAAGAATCTTCCCTTCAAAGCGTGAAAAACATCATTGCCGTTGCATCTTGCAAGGGTGGAGTTGGCAAATCAACAGTGGCTGCAATGATTGCTTGTGAGCTTGCATCACAAGGGTATCAGGTGGGGCTTCTCGACATTGATCTGTTTGGTCCCTCCTTGCCCACCCTGTTTGATGTTTCTATCAACGGAGTTCAAGCTAAAGACAAGAAGCTCCTTCCTATTGAAAAGGAAATTATTTTGCAAAATGGCGACGCCAATCTTTTAAAGTTGATGTCTTTCGGCTTTTTGTTAGGAGACTCACCTGCTATCATGAGAGGCCCCATGGTCTCCAATTACATCCAACAGCTACTCCATCAAGTTGACTGGGGTGATTTGGACTATCTTTTTATTGATCTTCCTCCTGGCACGGGCGACACTCAATTGACTCTCAGCCAAAGTGTGACATTGGATGGTGCTATGATCATCACCACGGGTCAATCCCTTTCTTTGGTGGATGTGTCTAAAGGCATTTTAATGTTTGAGAAAGTCAATGTGCCTATTCTGGGCTTGGTGGAAAACATGTCTTACTTCACCTGCCATCATTGTAATGAAAAACACTATCCCTTTAGAAGTGGGAAGGGCGAAGGTACATCTCAGGGGGTAGAGGGATTGAAAAACCGCTTTGGCATTCCTCTCCTTGCTGAAATTCCTTTCCTTGCCTCTCAAAAGATTTTTTTTAAAAACTATCAACCTCAATCTTTGGCAAAGAATATGATTGACAACATGGCAAGGGAATTAGGCAAGAAAACTTTTAATAAAGCGCCTCAACCAGAAGTACAGTGGAACGAACAAGAACTTTTTGTCAATGGGGAACAAAAATTTTCTGTAAGCCATCGAAATTTAAGATTCAATTGTCTGTGTGCCCTGTGCGTGGATGAAGTGACTGGGGAAAAAAAAATCACTCTTAAGGATATCCAAGAAAACATCTCGCCGCAAAAAGTTGAGCCAGTTGGTAACTATGCTATATCCATTAAATGGAACGATGGTCATCACTCTGGGATTTATCCTTATCGGCTTATCGAAAAACTCAGTCAACAAAAAGCAAACGGTTAAACAAGGGGTTAAACCGAAAGGATTTTTTGAAGGGAATCATCTTTTTCTCCGCTAAAGGATGCCACTAGCAGCTTATTTCCTTCATTAACTATGACATCATCGCCAGGATGATAAATTTCAAGCCCTTCTTCTTTCCAAGTACAAAGCACCCTAAAGAAAGGTTCATTTGTTAGTTCTTTAAGATTTTTACCAAGCCATTTTGAGTTTTTCTCTACGGTTTTAACTACGGCTCGAATATGGCTTCCTCTAACAAGTTCAAAATTAGAGAGTATTTCTTGATTAAAATAGCGATGGATCTCTATAGCAGACAACTCGGGGGGAGAAAGAATCTTGAAAGAAGGAAAGTACTTGAACAATCCCATTTTATCGAATTCATTGACCAGTGGAACAATGTATTTGAATCCCATTTGTTGGGCATTGAGGGCATAAGTTAGATTGTTAGCATCATTCTCGCTCGCACAGATGAAGATTCCTCCCAAATCGGGTTCCAGTTTCTTTATCTCATCAAAGTCGGCGGGATCAAGATTGATGGTCTTCACATTGTATTTCTCCATGATACTTTTGCAAGTATCCAAATCGTTTTCAAAAATGGTAACTTTTGATTGGTCATTTTTCGTCACCATAATAGATAACATCGTGAAAATAGTAGGGGAGACACCAGCAATATAGATTTTTTGGTTTAAGTACTTGCTGGTATAGAAGTCTTTAAAGAAATCAAAGTCATCTCTTCGCTTACTCATAAGAATCACATGGTCCCCTTCCTTAAAGGACCAATCTTTTTGAGAAAAAGGATCAATGGTGTTACCATTTCTATAAATAGCAACTAATTGAGTGCCATTGCTTTTAAAGGATTTTAAAATTTTTTCTGGTGTTTTTTTTAGACAAGCTGATTCACTCGAAATTCGAATACGGAAAACATTGATTTGAGCACTAAAATAATTATCAAATGAAAAGGCTTCTTCTTCGAAAAACTGGTTCGCTAAACGATAACCCGTTAGAAGACTTGGTGATACAAGCCAATCAACACCAAAGTATTCTTCCAAATCGTTATTCTCAAATGGGAAGATATTTTCCGAATAAATTCGGGCAACGGAATACCTTGCTCCTAACCTCTTAGCCAACTGTGAGGAGACAATATTTGAACTATCAATACCACTGCATGCTATAAAGAGGTCGCAAGCAGCAACATTAGCTCGTCGCAGGACATAGTGTGAGAGCATGTCCCCTTTCACCACCATGATGTCATGTTGAGACTTAATTCGTGCAAGTCGTTGTTCATTTTCTTCAATGAGAATAAGACTGACTTGCTGTTTATCGAAAAACTCAATGAGGTGTTGCCCTAAATTGCCTGCCCCAGCGACGACGACCAACATAACGACTACAATCTATAGTTTTACATAAAGCATAAAAGCTACGAGAATTTATTTGAGTGATTCTAATGCTTTTTCGTAGTCCGGTTCTTGAGTGATTTCAGGTACTTGTTCAACATAGATTACTCGATTATCCTCATCAAGACAGATGACGGTTCGAGCAAGAAGATGCGCAAGGGGTGAAGATGTAATCTCAATCCCATAGTCTTTTCCAAACTGATGAAAAATATCCGAAGCAGCCATAGTCTTGCCAATTTCTTCAACTCCACAAAATCGTTCTAAAGCAAAAGGTGTATCTCTGCTGATATTGAGAACAATGATATTGTTAGTTTCTTCAGTTGCAAACTTTTCAAACTGACGTACACTCGCCGCACAAACACCTGTATCAATGCTTGGGAAGATGTTCAAGATTTTCTTTCCTTTCAACCCGGACAATGAGATCGTTTCCAAATTACTAGAAACAAGAGAAAAGTCTGGTGCAGTATTTCCTACTTGCGGGGGTGTTCCACTAAGATTAATAGGGTTTCCCTTTAAAGTTATTTTAGACATAAATGATCCTATTTTTTTATTTGTTATATATTATATTATAGGACAAGCACATTATAGTGCGAATTAATTAAAAAGTGAACCACTTGGCTGAAATCAAAGTTAAAAAAAGAATCAGAATAAGAAAAAATTTTTTTTTTGTAAAACCTAAACATAGACTTTCCCAAAAATTTTTTTCGGGAACATTTTTTAATCCAAAAATTCGCGGATAAAAACTATCAAATGTTTTAAAAAAGCGATCCCATAAGGAAAAAATAACCCCATAATTAGAATCGTGATACTTTCGTTCTTCACTGTGGTGGGTCGCATGATGACAGGGCATCACAAAGACATATTTAAGCCACACTTCCCCTGGTACTTTTAAATTGCTGTGATGAAAAATAGCCGCATAAAAAGTAATGAACTCAAATATCACTAACAACTCTACTTGAATACCAAGTAACAGAAGAATAGCTGTTTTATAAAAAAGAGAAATGATAAGCTCTCCAATGTGAAAGCGAACTCCTGTAGATGTGTTGAGCTCTTAGTCACTGTGATGGACTTTATGGAAATTCCAAAGAAAATCGACTTTGTGGTTGAGTAAATGCCAAATATAGATAAGGAAATCAAGCATAATAAAGGAAAGAACTACTGCAATAGGAGATGTCATATCCATTACCCGTGGCAACAAGCCAATGGAATATTTTTGAGAAACTCCTGTAGTAAAGGAATACAAAAACGCAATCGAAATAGCAAGAAGGATAAGGTTATTGAAAAATACAGTGAGTACATTAGTTACATAGGATTTTTTGCGTTTGTTTGTAGAAACTCTTTTGAAGGAATAAAGCCATTCAATAAAAGAGAAGAGAATAAACAAGCCAAATCCAGTGATAATGAAAATATTTTTTTCCATCTCTCTACGATTATAACACATAAATATTTAAGTGCCGATTTATTGCTATTCTCTTTCTAATTTCCTATTTCAAATTTCAAATAACGTATAATTATGATATGCCATCGCAATCTTTTCCTGTCATACTTTTATCGGGCGGAGTCGATAGCTCCGTTGCTCTGGTA